CTCCTCCTCCTCCTCCGGCGGCTCAGTCACCAGCTGACCCCCTTCCAGCCGCAGGAACCATGCGATTTACTGTAGCGTCTTGTCACTCTTCATGTCGCGGTAGCGTGGAGCAGTAGAGAAAAGCCTAGACTTTAGTTGGTAGAGAGCCGATTGAAATATCATGGATAGAATTTTAGTTTTAGGAAAAGTTGGTTTGATTTCTAGCTTTATTACTATTAGGTATGTGAGCTTGGGCGAATCGCTTAATCTTTGAGTCTAGTTTTCTCACCAAATGAGGATGTTAGACTAAATGATTTCCGAGTTTCCAGCTAGTCCTAGAGTTCTATATTTCTACATAGTTGAATTATTTTATCATGCTGTTGCTGGGGAATATGACTAACACTTTTGAAGCTACTAATTTTATGTCAAGCTTTAAAGTCCATAATTGTTATCTTCAGAAAATATTATTTGACCTACAGTATGTCCAAATCAATTTAATAAAATCACTTTATAACAGGCCCCTGTGCTTGAAGTGCTGTTGTATAAACTTTGTGGTCATGGTGTGACGGGAGGGGGGGTCAAGTGTGCATTATGTCCTCGATTTTTACACAACTTTAAGGACCTTAAAACGGGCAGTGAACACATGTTCCCTGTATTAGCCAGTTCTTCGCTGCCATCCTGCTGCCTGGCTTGCCGGTGCTGGGGGAGCTGCTTGCTGAGGTTCTGGCGCTGAGGTGGCAGCAGCCCAAGCTGGCCTTGAGGGGCAGGTAGGACCCTCTGTGCGCCATGGGAGGTTGGGGGAGAGACATGCATGGTCTCCTCCCTTCATCTTAAGTCTGGAAGAGCCCTGTCTGCAGATCCCTGTGCACAGCTGTGGTGAGGGGACAAGAGCCGGAGCACAACCCCAAGGCACCTTCTGGCTCTCAGTGCTGCACAGAAAAAAAATTTTGGGTTTTTTTGGGGAGTACCAGGGATCAAATTCAGGACCTTTTGCTTGCCAGGCAAGCCCAGCACTGCTGAGCTACATCCTCACCCCTGCTCAGATTTAAATCCATGTATCTAGCGATATTTCCATGTGATTTGCTGTCCTCACGATGTTTCCATGTGATTTGCTGTCCTCGGGAATACGATAAAAGGAGTGAAGGGAAAAACAGTGTCAGAAGCATTACTCTGGTACTTGGAAAAGTACCCAGTGGTAACAGCAAGGAAGGGGAGAGGTGTGAAAGGCTGGCACCAGCACAGGTGCGAGATGGCAGGGACAGGAGAGGTATGGGTGACCTAGTGCCTGCCCTGACCTAGTATGCGTATAAGCCTCATGTTTCTGACCTGCGAGGTGGCTGAAATGCCCAAGTTCCAGGCTGGCAGGGGGAGGAAAACTGAGCACAGCACAGCAGCAGAGGTCCCAGAGTGCTCCAGCGGTGGGGGGTGGGCAGGCGGGCAGGCGCTGGGCTCGTTCTCACTGCGCTGAGCACTGCCATGGGTGGGGACACTGGGACAGGCAGGGCCTGGGGAAGGTGGAAGGACTCCATGTGGTAAAGGCACCTGCTTCTTGGAGACCGGAAGTTGAAGCTGAAAAGCGAGGGAGGCAGGGGAACCTCCGGGAGCAGCGTCCTGTGTGAGCGGTGCGGGACAGCTGTCCAGACTGAACAGGGGAAAACCCTGGGTGGCTGAGCCAGAGGGTGCCGGAGCCTGAGCTCCAGAGTGGGGCAGGCCCTGAGCCCCGAGGGGTGGCCAGGCCTCCTGTAGACCAGCTTACAAGCTTGAGTACATTGAAACGTGGGACATGACTGAGTTTTTC